TTGGTATACCGGTACAACTTGTTTAGACCGTTGTATTTTGTGTAGGGGAGAAAAATACTCACGAGCGGAGATAGGATGTCATAAGGTCAATGTTTGTAATAAATACGAAAAGATAATTATAATTTTATGTTGCCTACTATGAAAAAACCTCGTAAAAATAGGCCTATTCAAATTTATTAATATTACTGTACTTAATAATAATGTAACGAATCGACATTTTGTTAAAATTGCTTAAATGTGAAGGGAAGAAAGTAAGGAGGCTTTCGCATTTATTCAAAAAGAAAGTAAGGGAGGAAAAGACAAAGAAAAATAAGAATGAAAAAAGGGGAAATGGAAAGAATTCGGTGGACTTCAATAAAGTAATTTTTCATTAATTAGCACTGATGATTCCTGCAAATATAGGGGAGTGTGGTGGCTGATGGCTAATTAACTTTATTCCTTAATTACGGTTTGGTAAGCCTATTTTCACAGACGTGTAAGAATTCTTAGTAGACTTAATGCGCCACAGCCACAGTACATTTTTGTAAGCCATCCGTAATTCTGGAATCCTCAACCAATAGATAAATACATTAACTGCCGAATTCAATGGTATAAACAGTCTGAAGACTAACACATCCTTAAATTGAACCATGCCTAATGGTTTTGAATCCGTTGTTGAAAGCGCTTTAGTATGAACTATAATATACGCGAGCGCATATGGCATATAGCATAGGAAGAGTATTCCAGCAACCAACGAGAATGTGAATATTATATTAACATTTTGTTTTCTTATATATCGCTCGGACACATTTCGTGACTGTTTAAGCTGTAAAGAATCTCTTCTCACTGCTAGAAGTATCACAAGATATATAAAAGCGGTTGTAACGGAAACGCTTAATAACATACATACGGAAATCAGATTTACTTTAATAAAAACATCTAAATTAAAAGTAAATTTGAGTGTGATGACTACACTCGTACTTATAAACCAGTCTAAAAATATTGCGATGAACAGTGCTCTCTTTGTAACGTACCGAAGATGCTTAAAGGGTGCAATAATCGCAAAATAGCGTTCCATAGCAATCAAAATGATCACGAGCGCTGATGTGGACACCAACACACATTCAATAATGTACACAAACTCCAAATTTCCTAGAACAACATCATGACTTAGGCAAATTCCATAAAACACGTACAACGCCCCTATCATAGCATCTTTTACGGCGAGATCCATTATTAGGAAACTACTTCGCTTCTTACGTATTTGCTTCGTAGCTAATGCAACAATTAATGTAAAGGTATTGCCAACAAATGCGATGCTCCCAAAAATAGGCTGAATCACGGCACTAACATCGTCGATTACCAGAGGATCTGGCAACGGCGTCGTCACGGTATTGTTGTAATTCTCCATTTCCTGAAAACAAACATGTGTTTTATATCAGAAAAAAATGTTATGAAACAACTTCAACAACAACAACAGTTGACGAAGGCAACGCGATGTTGCCGAAAATTCTTATAAAAAAAAATAAACCTACCAAACTCTGAAAGAAAATTTACTTTTTTATAACTTCCAAAATGTAAAAAAAACATTGTTAAACCTATTATACCAGTTTTTTTTACGCTGAACTTAAATTTAGAATAAGTTTACAACAAAACATTCATCTAGTGAAAGCAAGCAAGTTTAAATCTATTGTTATCTAATGTAGTAAAGATATTACTGTATTTAAATTATTATTATTATTATTATTATTATTATTATTATTATTATTATTATTATTATTATTATTATTATTATTTGTACTATCGGCATACTATTTCACTTCTGTAAGTGTGTTAATAATTGGATTAGGTGGGTTTAAAGGGAAAAAAAATACAAAAAAAATAAGCACATATCTATTTATGTTACCCTAAAGGAAAACTGAAAAAAAAATATTATTGAATGTTTTCAAATGAAAGTATTGAAATAAATGATCATTTGGTCAACGAAAAAAAAAGAAAAAAAAAAAAAAAAACTCTGAAAGGAAATTTAATTTTTTATAATTACTTTTTTATAACTTCCACAATAATAATCTTTATAAATTATTTCAAGTTGAAGATATACTGCCACCCAAAAAATCAAGAAAACCCATGAAGAACTAGAAATGCTCCTTTTACGCTACGCAGTAAAAGCATGGCCTCACTTTAACCTTGTAGAGCCCACAAATGTCACAATCCTCCATAAATAAATATAACCACAAAATAATGTCAAAACATTGTACCGTCTGAGACGTGCCACGCGTATTATTGAAATACTGGCATTAGCGTAGGGACGGGCAGTGCAGCCGGGTGCAAAGTTAATTTGACATTATTAGGTTGGTAGACCTAATCTTGAAGTCATGGTAAACAATTAGCCTATATTTATTAACCTTGAAATGAAACATTAACCTGGAAAAAAATTGCAGAACACTAAGCCTATAATTATAGAGTTATATTCGATGAAAATACTGTTTGATCGTGTCTTTTTAACGTCTGGGTCTGAATAAGTACTAACAAACAACGTACAACATGCAGCTGTTGGTTCTCAGTGTATTACAGTAGGCCCCTATGACGATGAAATTGTTTTTGATAGTGCTTTTTTAATATTTAAGCATAATCCTATGATAACGGGAAGGTTCTCAATTATTATTTAAATTCAATGAGCATGTTGCTTGCGTCTGAATCATCAATTGTCTGAAGTGCAATGAGTTGATTGTGTTCATTTTCTCAAGACAGGCATTATGCAGATATTTCATATTGTGTTTATATAGTAGTTAGCACTGTATTCGTTTTAGTGGTTAGCATTTTATCGTTAATTAAAGAAGTATAGGCCACAGTACAGTCGATTGGCTGCTTGAGGATCGTTCGTGATTCTCCGCGAACGATAAATTGGCAGTTCGTGATTTGAGAACGAGAAGCTGCTTGCGGGGTTCGTGCATGCGCAGATCAAATTTCGTGTCAGATTACCGTCCTTGAGCCCGTCCGTCGTTGATGCGAAAGTGCACTAATTATTCATATAGATTCCAGATCTGTTATTGGTCACCATTAAATATTTTTAATAGCAAAATATTCATGACATAAATAATGAATTGAAATTGGGTAGCCAAGATTTTTTGTATACAATCTGTTTAATTTTTTGTATACAATCTGTGGCCGTTTGCGGTCCCCTCTACCGGTGTCCCAGTCATAGGTCTAACGGCCATGCCATTGACGCTTCAAATCAAAAGTCCCGGTAATTCTTGCACCGGGGCCCATCATCACCTAGCTATGCCACTGTATATTGGGTTTAGTTTATCGGCGTTTCTTTTTGTTCCAAACTTAAAATTTTACATGGGTTCAGAAATAAGCAGCCTTGGATGGTCTCGGTGAGCGCACTCTTTGACGTTTCCGCCTTGGTGGTGATGTTCACACGCAACAGATGTAATAACGAGCATAAAGCCAAAATGCTAAGAAAATATTAGTTATATGAATACCTCAATCCATTAGAATGTTGAAAATGTTCAAATTACTTAAGTCTTGTTTTTTTTTTAATGATGTTTTGCCTTTATAACCTTCAGCGTTTAGGCTTACTTAAGAAATGATCGACTATTGCGCAAACGGTAGAAGAAATTGTTTCTCATAATTTATTGTGTCTATGTAGCATTATTACTGGCATAATGGATGCTCTCCCTACAAAATAAAAATAAAAAGATGATTCGACTATGTCTATATATACCGTATAGGTCTAATGAATGTTCTCAATGATTATTTACAATTCAATGAGCATGTTGCTGAAAGGACCAATTTTGAATGAAGCGCAGTGAATTGATTGTGCTCATTTTCTCATGACAGGCATATTATGCAGATGTTACATCGTTTTAGTAGTCAGCATTTTATCTTCAATTAAATAAGAAGTATACAGTACAGTCAATTATTCATGAAGATCCCAGCTTTATTTTCAATAGTAGAATATTCATGAAAAAAATAATGAATAGAAATTGGCAGTGGCGTATCTAGAAGTCTTGATTGATGATTTTCAACTACTTGACCGTGATTTTTTTGGGGGCGACTGGGCTGGGGGGGAAGAGTAATTTTTTTGCGGGGGGTGCGCCCCCCCCGCGCCCTCCCCTAGATACGCCATTGGAAATTGGCTGTTCTACAAGCAGTTAATTAGGGTCTTTCAATATATTTTAAATATTGTACTGCTAGGAAAACCCACACATACCGTAACCATACATCTGTTAATAACTATCTTAGAATGATTTTTTACATTTGCGGATGACATGGTATGATATTTGAGGTAAAAATGGAAATATTTTATGTTTGATTTTTGTAGCTAGCAGAGTAATTGTTTTGTAAGTATTTTTTTAGTGTTAAATTCCTTTTTAGGTCAATACCCTTCTCTGAAAGCCACTTTTGTAACTCGATTGATGTTTCGTTTGTGCTTTTGTTTACATAGGACACACCTTTCGAAGTGTGCCACTGTTTGAAAAGTTTATGTCCAAATTAATAAATAAATAAAATACATTTGTAGGCGAAATATTTTTTAATTTGTGTTTAAACAGATTTTTACACTTGTGGACGACATTTGTGGTTATTATACATTTGTAGTTGACATGTTATGACAATTGCGGTTATTTTGACATTTGTGGGAACAATGTTTTGACGTTTGTGGTTATTTTTTTTACATTTGTGGTAGATTTTTACATTTGTGGGCTCTACAACCCTCCAAAGCTTTTAATTGCAAATCTTTCAGATCTTGTGTTTTCTTTTATTTCATCAAATTATGCCATGCCGATAGGCCTATAGGTTGGTGAATCATATAAACATCTATTATATTATTCAGTTGTAATAATCATAGCTTTCAGATCTTAGAGAAAAATTTAGAGAAAAAAAATTTAGAGAAAGTAAATATAGAATAACCCGACAAGAATTACCGATAATTGAGAATATCTATGGTTGGTAGTCAGCAATGCCTCCAACTGAGTGTCCTAAACAAAGCAATCAGCGCTGTAAAATACGACGAATGTAGGTGAGAATGGCCCAAGAAAAAATGTCCCCGGAAAAAATGGCCCCAGTAAAAATGGCCCCAAATGACAAGTAGGTTAAAATGGCCCCAATGAAAAAATTCAGTAATAGAAATGATATTTTATTTTTAATCTTCAAACATTTAAATACTGTAATAAGCAAGAATTGAATCAATAACAAATACAGTTACACAACAGATGCAAATAATGTACTGAGAGATTATCAGAAAACAAAGGCCATTGAACATATTTTGATAGTTGAAATAAGTTTTAAAAACGTTATTCCACTAACAAAGTAGAGGAGTAAACAGTAGTTAAAGCATGTGGATCAATTGTGTGTTTGAATGACAAGTTCATGTATGGGAAAAGGGAGGCTTACTTTACTTCAATAAATGTTCTGCTTAGAGTTACAGTACTTCAAAGAAGTATTCGTTAATCAAATATTGTTTCTAAAGTAAACTGAATAATTAGAAATACATTTATTTAAGCAACTTATTTAATTGCATACTTGGTTTCTACTCCCTGCCAAGTAAATTTAAGTGCCTAAAACTATACTAAATAATGTAAACTGAGATACTATATTATATACATAGTTATGTGAATATGGCAATTATGCTAAGAATTTAAATGGTGTGTAATTGTGAGGGTAAAGTAATTATGGTATGATCAAATCCCAGTGGGCACAACTTGGTTAGATGTGTATAAGAGACAGGTATTGTTGTAATTCTCCATTTCCTGAAAACAAACGTGTTTTATATCAGAAAAAATGTTATGAAACAACTTCAACAACAACAACAGTTGACGAAGGCAACGCGATGTTGCCGAAAATTCTTATAAAAAAAAAATAAACCTACCAAACTCTGAAAGAAAATTTACTTTTTTATAACTTCCAAAATGTAAAAAAAACATTGTTAAACCTATTATACCAGTTTTTTTTACGCTGAACTTAAATTTAGAATAAGTTTACAACAAAACATTCATCTAGTGAAAGCAAGCAAGTTTAAATCTATTGTTATCTAATGTAGTAAAGATATTACTGTATTTAAATTATTATTATTATTATTATTATTATTATTATTATTATTATTATTATTATTATTATTAAATTTAAGTGCCTAAAACTATACTAAATAATGTAAACTGAGATACTATATTATATACATAGTTATGTGAATATGGCAATTATGTTAAGAATTTAAATGGTGTGTAATTGTGAGGGTAAAGTAATTATGCTATGATCAAATCCCAGTGGGCACAACTTGGTTGAAATAACGTTGATTCAACGTAATATGCAAACATTGAATCTATTGAATTTTTGTTGTATATGAAAGTTTGCATCAACGTAAATCTCAACGCTGATTCAACGTAAAATGTCTAAGGTTTTTTCAATGCTAATTTTTTAACTTTGGAACAACGTCAAATAACCAATGTTGAATCAACGTTGAATTTTGGTTGTATATGAAAGTTTTCATCAACGTAAATTTCAACGTTGATTCAACGTAAATTGTCTAAAGTTGTTTCAACCTCAATTATTTAACGTTATAATAACATCAAATGATCAATGTTGAATCAACTTTGAATTTTGGTTGTGAATGAAAGTTTTCATCAACGTAAATTTCAACGTCGATTCAATGTAATATGTTCAATGTTAATTCAATGTAAATTTTTAATGTTGAGTCAAAGTCAATGTTTATTCTTTTAAACTTACAAAATGCACTGAGTTTAAAATATACTTGACCATTTTTCTTTAATTGAAACTTGCAAAAAACATTAAATATTATGTATCGTAGCTATACAGGCATGTTTAAATCAGAGTTTTTGTAATAATTATAAAAACAGCTACTATGTGTAGATTTCAAAATATACCTATCATGCATTACTGTCGTCTTAACCATGGCGGTATAACTTAACTGACCTAATATTGCACACTTAGCATAATTAAGAATCTTTCGCGTTACAGGCTTATGTTTAAATCAGTAATTTTCTTGGTGATAAATTATTTGACCCTCTACTATCCTTAGCCAGGTCTTTTCTTGTCCAACCAGAGGTATTGAAGCAAGGTATCTAAGAACCTTTGTGAAAGATAAAAACAAAACAAAAATATTTGAAACAAAGAAGACTGAAATATTGTTTTAAAGTTTGTATGGTAAATTTTAAAATAGTAAATACTTGAATACTATGTAGATAGTTGAAACAACTGTTCTTCCCAGACCAATCTACATTGATATACTGTACTGCAAGCATTACCAATAATGATGCAAATACTGAAAAATATTCACTATGGAATATAATATTGCAAACATGGACAGTTAGAGATTTCTCTATAGGGAGTGGCACTTACCTTAAAACACATATTCATTAAGTTTTATTACTTTTGATACGCAAAATATTAAATTAAATGTTGTGTAGTAGAGTATGGTAATTGCCTGGGTTAATAATGGACTTCAGCTAAAACAATTTAACTTTTGCTAAATAATTAGGAACAACACCAAACATGAATGGATGGAGAACAAAATAAGTTTGAAAACAAACTTTAAAGCACACCTTTCAATAATAGAATGTTTTTTTTGTTGTTTTTTTAAAGATTTAAATACATTTTTCTCTGACAGCATCATACTACGAAGTTAGGTGCCATTTATCGTTGGAGAATATTTAGCTTTAGCTTTAACTTATTAATCACCTTCGTACGACGACGATTAAGACAAATGCTATGACTTCTTAGGTACCCAAGACTTAATTAAGAAACAAATGGTTATTACTGTGACATAGTAGGGTAGTCACTTACTGATGTGGGATAGTGGTATTAGCAAATGTGCAGTATATATTCTTGTAAAATAAAAATGTTTATATACATTTTTACTGCTTCATCATGGCTGCTCTTCCATCAGTTTTGTACCAGAAGACAAATAAATACACATTCAATAGTTGGTTTTTTCCCAGTGTCTACCACAAACAATATATTGCAAAACATGACTTTCTTTCAATGGATTGAAAACCTGAAAGAAAGACCATATTATTTATAGTTAGACCTATGCACACAACTAAATTAGACCCATATCAATTTTTATATTTCTATTATTAATTACACTAACCGTAGCGTTAAATAATGTTAATATTATGATAAGATATTTACTGTAGTTAAATTTTCTCTTTATTAAAAGAAAATATAAAAATTTGCATTATTAACTTTAAAAACAAAAATAGAAAATGATTACTGATGACACGACAGTGATGTGGATATTATACCACTGGCAGTATGTAGGCCTATGATATAAGATGAATTATTAAACACAATATTAATAAATAGCTGTTTTATTTTAGTGCTTGGTTCATGCAACCACATTTTAACATTATATTTAATATAATATAGACCTATTACAGCATTTCAACACAGGACGTGGCCATTTTGCAAAGTTAAGTCTAGGCCTAGGCGATTAAAAATTATCGCTAATAATTCAAACTTAGCCCACACATCCAACTTGCAGTCTAGCCTAAACAAGTAAATAATTATGCTAACTATGCTCTTACACTACCCTACAGTACTCTAGAGCTACTACTACTAGGCTAGGGCCAGGGGGCCTGGCTGGCCTAGGTTATCCTAGCTAAAACAAAAGATAACCAAATATATAAACCAAGCCTAAACAGTTACGATATTGGGCTAGCCTAGATACACCCTGTAATATAGTATACAAATATAAAATTCTTACCATTTATTTGATAGTGCTGATAAATTCTGTAGTATGTAAACTGTGTATGAAGCTTTACAGTACTAATACAATACTTCAAAAAATGAGCATTTGCTTCTGATTGGTCTGTACCTAATGACCTAATCCGGTTAGCCCATTACTTGCCATACTTTCAAGGACGGATAACCACAGGACCGACCGCACCGGCTATGGCCGGACCACTTTTTCTCAATTCCATTACTTTCTGAAATAAATATATAATGAGAATTATGAATTATATGAATGTACGCATCGCATTGACTTTTTCAATCATGGTACGATGGCCTATTATAAGACTAAAAATTAGCGACCTAAATTAGACTCTACCAAATCAAAACTGCTGATTTTTCCAGGGCTTTTATTCCTGCTGCACCGTGACCGGGGCATTTTTCAGTTTGATTCCAGATAGTCTGCATTAGTTTCTCCATCACTCTCAAGCATGCCAACACCTACATGAACATCATTACCGTTCATCATCATCGTCGACGTCATCGCCATCGACATCATCATCGTCATCATTATTATCACCTTCATCATAACCGTCATTGTTATCATCATCCCCTCATTATGATCATCATTAATTCACATTTTTTCTGGGCATCAAAATAAACAAGGTTTAAAGATGTATTGTCTCTTGAAAATGACAAAAAATCATAAAAATAATTTTGAAATTAACTTGTTCATTTTTGCAGGAGCACACATATTTTTAACTTGAGCAAAGAAATTATTGAATTTCAAAAATGTGTACCCTTATTTTTAAACTGGATAATTATAATAAAAATAATGAAACACTTCCATTGACTGGAAGTGTTTTTATCATTTTTCTTTGTAAAATGACGGGTAAACCTTTTTTAAATACATTAATGTTTATATGTTCAAGTTAATAATGTTCATGTTTGGCAAGTTAATTTTTAAAATGATTCAGCGGCATTGTGCCCCTATCCACTCAACTGGATCACCTTAATGTTAGTACTCTGTTATTTATTTATTACCAGGATAGATCTCTCCATGGAAGTATACGTGCATGGTCTGTCTGCATGAATATACCGAAGGTTAACTAAAATTAATGTGTAATCGGTATAAGGCCTACCAGAAGCAAACACAGCACGGCACACATATAACTTCTAAAGCGTGATCAATAACTTATTAATGTTCCATGCCGAACTTTGCAAGAATAATTAAAATTGTACGAGTAGTAGGCCTAATGTTCATAACATGTAGGCTGCAGGTCCATTTGTGTGGCAAATAGTATCCTGTGTTTTAATTATTGCATATTCTGTATATTTTTTATAGCTGAATACCCTCCACGAAATACAATTACAGTATGTTATATTCATTTTTGGTTTATGCATTAGTATGTATTCAGGGGCGGATTTAGGGGGGGCCGGCCCGGCCCCGGCCCCCCTTTTTGGGAGGTAAAAAAAAGAAAAAAAGAAGAAAAAAAGAGAGAAAAAGAAAAAAATGATAGCCCAGAATGCCTCAAATGTTATGTTCGGGCGTCTAGAACACAAAAATTTCGCGGGGGCATGCCCC